AAAAAAAAAAAAAAAAAAAAAAAAAAAAAAAAAAAAAAAGGTAACAGTAAAATTATTTGGAATGTCGTTCCCAAACTGCTCCGTGCTGGCTGACCAAGGTGGGGGACACAGCTCCCGCCCCGCTCCCGGCCACCAACCGCCGCTGGGGGGGCAGAGCCCGGCGGGACCCCCCCTTCTCACCAAGCGAGCCCGCGGCTCGTCAGCCCCCGGCCACCCACCGCCCCGGGCTGCCCCGGGACCGGCACCCCAACGGGAGCTCCAGAGCACCCAGGGGAAGCACAGGCCCCCAGCACGGCCCCTCCCGGGAAGGCTCCGGTACGGGCAGCACACCGACCACTGCAAACTGCTCCCCTAGCACGAAAACTCAACAAAATCTTTTTCTTTTTTTTTTGAGTGCTCATACGGCCACAGGCGACCGCCTCTCCTCGCAGCGTCCAACGTGTCATTAAAGTTACATGGAAAATGGCAGGCTACACACAGAACACTGACCGGGTTTTCCCTGTTAAAAAAAGAAAAAAAAATACAATACAGAAAACCAGTTTGTTCTCATTTCTACAGTTCAGATCCCTTTGACGTTGTGCTACACTCCAGCCTTGTCAGTAATGCGGAACTCTGCAAAGGAAAGAATCAAAGATGTGCAAACAAAGCGGGAACCCAGGGACATGCTCCTACGTGCCGACACGCAGCTGCACCGAGACGGAGCAGCAGGGCTGGAGGCAGGTGCGGAGCCTCCCGGCAGCTCCCCGGGCTGGAAGCCCGGCCTGCGGGGGGTTAGTGCTTGCATAGTTGGAGGGGCATGCGTGTGGGACCGCGGGGGAACGCCATGCACAGCTGCCTCGAGTGCGCGGAAAAAATGGTTGAGCATGCTCAAGTTTCAGCTTTGGAAAGCAAACAACCCTGCGGCTAAGACGGATGAGGGCACTTACAGTGGAATAGGTGTACTGTGATTAAGCTGCTAATTTTCTATCCTAAGCATCTTTTCTTTTTTAAGTAGCCATATTTGATAAGTTTGAAAGGGTTAACGATTTATACAGCCAAAGTGAGACACTTACAAGTTACAGAGAACCGCAGGCACCGAATTGTCTATCAAATGTGATTAATACAAATAAAAGGTGCCTCTTTAATACACATCATTGAAAATGTGCTTATAATTTGTATACTACTAAACACTATCCAAAAGACGCAGCCCAAAAAGGGTAAAAATAATTTCTTTAGGTGACTCCAGCAGGAATCTAGCACTGGAATGATGGCGCTGCCTTCCTGAGCCCAGAGGGCTGATTCCAGGATCAGGAGCGAGGGTCCGACGGGACGTGGTGTGAAATACCAGCGACACGGGGCCACGCAGGGGAGTTCGACCCCAAGCAGACTGGAGACACATCGCAAACCGCCCAGAGGAGGCGAAGCCCTCGGGGCTCGCGCGGCTGATTGAGAGCAGGGACGGTGCTGGCCCTTCTCCCTTCCAAGGCACTTCTCCCCAGCGAGGCCGCCCGGTAAACCTCTGCGCCCCGGCGTCCCACAGCCCACCGCCCCACGCCAGGACAGCCCACCCCACCAGCGGCCACCCTGCACACCGGCAAAGCGGCCACAGCCACGGCCACGAGACCTCCGGGCCCTACGTGCCACCAGCCAGGGGCAGGTGGCCACCCCTGGCCAGCAGTGACCTTCGGAAGATGGCAGAACTTGCCTCCTCCGCAGGCGTGAGTGCTCCTGAAGCCAAAGGTGAATTTTAAGAGGTGACCATGTACAAGTGGCTGCTCCAGAACAGCCTGAAGCTGTCACTGCTCTCGGGATCCACACACAGAGCCCAGGCAGGGCCCGAAGATCCCTCTCGGGAGCGTTCCCTAGTACCGTGCCACATCCTCACATCTGGACAACGCGAGACACGTGGGCAGGAATTCCTACGCGTGAAAGGGCTAAGAAGTATGTCTGCTTTAAAGCCAGAAGACTGATGTTGCTTTTGCCCCCATCACTTTAAGTAGTGCCTTTAGCAGCAACGAGGCTTGGTTCTACACTCCCGGTGAACGCGTCGTTCCCGGGATCCGCACCCTCAACCCCCTCCTGGGCAAGGAAGCTCCTGCACTACTGGAAGCGCAATCCCAAAGAGCAGAGGTGCAGAGCAGCAGCAAATGGCCGCTTCCCAAACTGCTCTGTCACCGCCAGGGGACAGGGACGTTCTGCCCAACGTGCCGCCCACTCCCCACGAACCGCAGCGCGCCCCTGGAAGTCAGAACGTTTTGCCTGAGGACACCTGAAGTGAAGGCAGAAAACACGGCGCAGGCCGCCGGCCCAGCCCCGAGGAGCAGCATCTCGGGGGCTCTGAGGCGAGGGCACCGCCAGCCCGGCCTCCCCCAGCTGCCCCGCACCCGTGCCCCAGAGCTGCCGCTCCCGGCGGGACGGGCACGGACCCAGCCTGGCAGCGTGTGCAGGGCGGATCCTGCTGGAGCCGGCGGCAGTTGCCATCAGCAGTTACTGGGACACAGAAAAAGAGCAAGACTGCACATCAGGGGACGGCAGAGGTTTGACTGCTTTCAGCACCAGCTACTGGAACACCAGGAGCTCCCATTCCTGTTTTGCCCCCACAAACGGGAGCTGCAATGACCGTTCTCATGCCCCCGATACACACACACACACGGAGCTGGTGTTCAGCTAAAACACCAGTTTGGACATGGCTTCAAATTCCCTTCAGTCCAGGCATGCAATACAGGAGCAAAGCCACCTCAAAAACCGTACGCCAGCTTCCAGTTTAAACTCCTTCAGTGAACGATGGCATGAAAAGAAAATGTCATTTGATAAAAATAACCTTTCACGAACGCCCCATGGTAAAATGCACAGAAAACTAGGTTCTGTCTATTAAAAGATACCAAACCAAGTTAGCACTAGCTACCAGAATTACATTCTTGCTAGAAGAGTTGTTACAAGAGAAGAGCCAACACAGTGCAAGACCTTAATACAGATAAAACCTTAAACAAATATTTCAACATCAACATTTCAGGGAGTAATTTAAGTACTACAATGTGAAGCGAGTCTTATCTGCTCTGCTGGATATAACAAAAATAATCCAAGTCATACATTTAAGAAGCAAGTAATGCAATCTTTGCTTCTCGTTGCTGCAATAAATGAGACTGAAACAATACCTGGGAGAAGAAATGCATCAAGAAGATGGTCACGTTCAGGTTTAAAAACAGTCCAGGGCGCGGAGTCCAGCACACTGTAAAAACATGCAGGCTGCTGGCATCGCTCCTGGGGCGCAGGTGCTGCAGGGGACGGGCAGGGCTCCCCAGCCCAGCTCCACGCACACGCTGCCTTTTCTCCGGGGCGCCAGCCACCCCCAAAACGCTTCTCTGCGAAGCCTGCTGCAGCTGCGGGGCCAGCCGAGCACAAACCCTGACCGCGGAGTAGAGGTGCCCGGCAGACCCGGGGACAAGGCTTCCTGCAGGTCACCAGCACGTCAGCTCAAGGGAGGGGGCACAGAGCAGCTCAGTCCCTGCTCGGCGAGGGCTGTCGGATGCGCTGACAGCGGAGGGGTACAGAGGCCTGTCCACAAGCTAAGCCTGGAGAAGCTCTGCCACGCAAGACTACGAGAGGCCAAGACCGCACTCAGAAGACAAGCGTGCCCACTGCCCAGCTGCTGACCCACACCGCAGGCTGCTGCTGTACACAGAGGATACGCAGCACATCGATAAAAACTGATGAAATTAAAACCAAAAGATTACACCACATGTATAGAAAAGGACTTGAGGAATCCACCTGTTAAGAGGAATCTTAAAGAGCTTGAGGAACCTCCCCTGTCAGAAGGGCATGTAAACAAAGACGTGACTAGATGTAGTGTTTTAACCCTGATAGAGGTGGTGACCAAGCAGGAGCGGGGCCCTGAGGGGCCGTGGGGAGGGGGACGAGCACGCCGCAGGCAGCAGCGCTCGGGGGCACGTGAGAAGTGCTCCGGGGTGTTCTGGTAGAGCCCCTCCAGCCCGCGGGAAGAGGCTTGTTCAAAGCATGCTCAGAGAAGGCAGAGAAGACAAGACGACACTTGGCTTATCTAAACGTTACTCCTATAAATAACGGATGCTATATTCACACCACTACGACTAAGCATCTGAGCACATTAGGAAACGCTTCTTCTCAGGAGTCTGAGCAGGGGTCCCACCAGCACCGCTGCCACCCAGCTGCACGAAGACAGCTCTCCCACGGCACCGCGCCCGCCCCGCACCCACAGGTACGAGCTGGCAACCAGCTGCTGCGTAGTGATTTCTTCTGGTGCTTAATGTAGTGTTTCGGAAGAGAATGTAATCAAAGAGGATAGGGTAGAGGGCGCCTTAGGTAAGGACAGAGCAAAATTCTTCAGAGACATAGCAACAAAAAAATGCAGGTTACGTTTCACAGAAATAAACTTTCTGGCGTTGGAATGCAAAAATGAAATCTGTTACACAGACGCATGTACGCACAGACACACAGGTACCTTTCTGTCCATCCACTAATGCTAGTCCCTCCTATACTGGCTGAGTATATACCTGAGAAACAACATTAGTGTTGAAATATTGCCCTTTAGAAAGCTTGAAAAATGGAGGGGAGCAGGGAGAGAGGGCTGAGAGAGAGCATAAAGAAGCGGCAGTCTCTCCAGTTTCCTTCGCATCCTCCACAGCTCAGAACAAGGCCAGACGCCAGCGCGGACACAGCCTGCTCAGAACAAGACCAAAGGAATATCAGTTCACAGCTCTACAAAGCACACTAATGTCAGTACAACTGGGTTTCAGATTTCAGACCCTGAATCTGAAGAAAGTTGTTGCATTTTCTGTAAAGAGACTCCTGTACAAGTGCTATGGGACAGCTGCATTCATGTTCAACAACGACTCCAGCTAGACTACTTGCATCAGTGCTGGCTGCCTGTGGCTATTTGGTTTGATGGCAGAATCAAAAGGCGCTTTAACAACTTGCAGTTAACTTCTCCTCAAAACATACATTAGGCACATGAACAAAAAAACAAGAGCTCAGAATAAATTAGCTTCTCAGCAGAAGAAAAGACACCTGGATTGCAGCATTTCACTGAGGTTCCAGAGAAGGCCGTACAGACACCTGCATGCTGGAAGGTAATTTTTTCAGCGGCTTGTCAGCAGCCTGCTTGCCACTGGAAGGAGGAGACTGGACTCCGGGATCTAGCTGGGAAGACTTGGACTTGCGGCTGGATAGCAGAGAATGTTTGTTGGGTGTGGCATCTTTAGGGACCAGTTTTTCTTTTGCAGTAATGTTGGCGTTGGTCTGAGGGGCTGGTGGGACAACACCTTTCTCTGATTTGTCTTCCAGCACGGTTTTACTGCCTGACTTGGAACAGCCACTCCCCGTCTTTTTCGAGAGCATCGTTGTCTTTCCCAGGTCTGCCGACCTCCGGGTCTCCTTCTGCCTTAAGGCCGATTTAAAGAAAGACAACCCCTTCTCTTCCGACTTGCTGTCCCTCTTCAAGCCAGAGCGCAGCCCGACGTTTGGGGACCGCAGGTTGGCCATGGAGGAACTCCGCACGTGCCGGCTGTCGGCCGCCCGGCCGTCGCTCCGGGAGTGGCTGATCCGCGGGGAGCTCGTTCGGGAACTGCTGGTAACGCTCGTTTTATCCGACCCCAGACTTATCTTAGAGCCCTCCCTGCTGAGGCTCCGGTCTGAAGCCCGGCTCTTCCCAGCAGAAGACCCCTTAGTCAATGAGCCCGAGGGGGTTTTCTTGGCAGCTGTGGAGGATGGAGAAGAACCTGGCTTTTGCTTCTGTTGGGCCGACGGGACGGCCGCCTCCGGGGGCTTCGTGCTGTGGTCCTTCCTCACCTGGCTGGGAGCAGGAGACCCATGTCGCCCACCGGCCCGAGAGGAGTCCGTCCTACTCCTAGATCGGGAAACTTTCTGGGAGCTCTTTAGCTGAGGAGAAGAGTGAGAGACTTTGGTCTCTTGGGTAGGTAAGACTGTCCTTCCCTTCCTCAAGCTTTTGTCCGGCTCAGAAACGCCCTTGGAGCCATGACCCTTCTTAGGGGTGCCATCCGCCTTCTCTGCGGCCAGCCCTGCCCCAGGGGCCTTCACCTCCTTGACCGGAGAGCTCTCCACAGAATCACTCTGATCCACAAAGGCGATCTGATTGTTGTTATCAAAAGGGTCCAAAGCAGGGCGATTCCTGTCCGGCTGCACAGAGCTCTTCCCACACCCATCTGAAAGATCCGAGCTCGATGTCCTTACAACAGACTCCTCCCTGAACGCCCCTTCCATGACGGCCAAAGGGGCTCTGCGAGCCGTCCTGTGCTCACGCCGACTGCCGTCACAGGGCTCCAGGTAGCTGCTAGAGAGATTCCTCAGGCTGCCAAAGCAGGAGGTGGAGACTTTATCGTCAGCAGCCTCCCCGATCTTCTCCAGGGTGGAGGCAGAGGTATGTACAGGGGAATCTCCGGAGAAGCGTGATGGGGAGTTGGAGCGCAACTGTAGTTTTGCGGAGAGGGACCACGAGGGCCTGACACCATTTTCACTCACTGCCAGCGGGCTGGTGACAGAAGATCTAGATGACAAGCTCTGACGCTGGACACTTCTGACAAACGGCCGAGTTGAAAACCCCCCTGCAGAGAAAGAGAGAAACAGCCTCAGTGTGAAAGCTGAGCCCGCGGTGCTTCATCCACCATCCACAGGCGCCGTTTCCCAGCACGGCTTCCTGCACGGAACCTGGATAGGGGATTCGACAACGGTTACTTGCCCCTGGTCACCCAGAACGGAAAATCCAGATCTCCCTCTCATCCCTGAACAGCGGGAGGTCAAACACAGGCACTGCACTTTGGAAGTCCTTGAAATTAGCAGTGAGTTCGCCAACTAGGATCACGCTTCCAGAGACACATTTTTCTGTATTAAAGGATATTTCCCACGCCATCCTGCAAAAGGCAAAGCAGGATCCCTACTTCTTTAGATAAAGCAATGTATTTGTATTTGCAAACACAAAGGTCAACAATAAGCATTTTAGAAGTGACACTACCATGGCTGGACCTGGCAGTTATCACCAGGCTGCTGCAGGGACTTCACTGACCCGTGAAGCTCCACATTTCCAGCAGTTACAAGGCACTAGGCGGAGGAGCCAGGCAAAGCCAGGAACTGAGCAGTGATTCACACACACACAAGTGAATGTGCCATCTTCTCACCTCCCTGGGAGCCGTCTACAGCACGGCAGCAGACAATTAGTACCGACACTAAGCTGTAGCGATACGTCAGCCTCCTGCAAAGGTGCTGCAGGGAAACCCAGAAAAAAGCCACAAGCCCAAATACTTGATTGAGAGGTTGCATTGAGGGTACTTCCTCTCTTTGAAAGGCTCATTAAGGTTCCTGCCCTGCTCTTCTCCATCCTTCAATACCAGAGAACAGCTCACCTGTGCCAGAACCCTTCTGCTGCTACCAGCACAGCACCCACCTCCCCCAGCTGCCAGAGGAACCATCCCTGGTAACCACATATTTTGCAGCGATTTTAGTAGGGATGTTGTAACAGAAAACCTGGCGGGCCGTGTTCCCCCCGCTCTGCAGTGCTGGTACACACCATCATCTTCGCTCCTTTCCCCAGTCAGCTCCACCGATTCCGAGAGCGAAGCCAGAGACGTGCGCCGGGACGAGGCTGCTGAGGCGATGCTGGGCTGCTTGCTGCCGGGGAGGCGGCTGACCCAGTGCTCGCAGAGCGAGGAGCTTGTGGAGCCTGCAAGGAACCGGGCCCAGAGTCAGGCAGCGGCGTGCGGCCGCAGCACACGCGGAACCTCGGAGGGCCACCGAGAGCAGGACCGAGCTGTGCTGCTCAGGCCCGACGGACACGCCGAGCCTGGAGCCGGCCCATGCAGCCACAGCACCCGGGAACGCCAAGAGCAAGTCTTGACTCTTACGGAAGAGTTCTGGTCACAGCAGAGACAGAACTGTGCTGTGACTGCAGGGAACCCCTGCGAGAGCAGGCGGGCAGAGGGAACGCAGCACAAATCCTTTCCTTCCCAAAGGCACCGAGCCTGCCCTGCCCCCAGCTCGGACCCCACCGACACCCCAGCGGCGCCGCCGTTCCTACCTCCCGGCTCTGACACCGGCAGCTCCGAGCAGTTACCCGGAGGTTCAGGGGGTGCCCCCATCTCCAGGGCCTCTTTGCCACAACCAGGCTCCCCACTAAAGGGGGGGGTTCCCAGGGCCTCTGATGCGCAGCAGCAGGCTCAGACAGGCCTCGCCGAGCTCAGGGACAGGGAGCGGGGGCTCAAACAGGGCTGGGCAGAAAGCTCTGCAGAGGGACAAACTATGCGTGAAGGACAAACGACAACGCCAGCGGGGCTTACCTGCCACAGAGCTGTTAGCAGACCATGACGGGATTGCTGTGCGTCTCTGGTAGAAAAGAATATAAGCTGTCTGCTTGCAGACTTCGTTTTCAGAAAGTTGCTGAACATCACTGTCATCAAAGCAGTACCACTGGCCATCAACCGAGTTTTTGCAATATGCTGAGAGAAAAGACATTACTGTTAGACCTTCCTCACTCCTGCTGCTCTTTCTGAAACAGCTCACGTTTCGGGATTTTCTTTGTGCAGCATTACTCCTCAGAACAGAACACCATCTGGGTGGCTCCATTCCCATCACGTTCTGTCACTTGTGGCAGTCTGCCTCCACCAGTGCCCTCCTCCTGACCGAGCCCACCCAGGATGACACAGCCCAGAGACGTACGTCAGAGGGCAAAAATGGACACACGCATTTGCTGGGCTGCTGCATGAAGTCATACAGATCCCGGGAACCATCAAGCAACTCTGTCTATCTCTGGCTGCTCCGAGAGCTGCCAGAACAAGCAAGGAGGAGTTCATAAACTGGCTGTGCACACAATGGGTAAATGCTTCCCATGTGTAACCACCTCTTGCAATTACAGAAGCTCTGTGCTGAATGGGCAGGAGCATTTTTGAGACATGAAAGGCCAGTTACATTACTGTGAAGGAAAAGAAAAGAATAGCACAGAAAAATATACAGCAAGACATTTGGGGTCAACAGCCATTGTTCCATTCCTCAAAGTCATAAGAGTTACGCCCCCGGTATCACACAGCCAGCCCCCATCAGCTGGGTTAGGTCCCTGTGTCAGGAAAGGTGAAGAAATTAAGGACACTAACAGAAAAACAGAACTGCTTTCTTTCTGAAAGGATCCAGCATACAGAACCTCGCAGGCTACTTGCCTGTGTAGTGTCCCCCTTGCATGGTGCCGTGGTGATTACAGACAGCGTACAGGTCATAGATATAGTCTTCAGGATCCCTCCCCAGACCATACGGTCTCCTCCAGGGTGACCAGTGCGACGGCAGACTCCAGCTGCTCTGGCTGCGCTTGACAACGTGAGGAGTCATGTCCAAGCCACTCAGGGGGAATTTAACCATGTTCTGAAGTTTCATCCTTCGGTCTCCTTCCTGCGTGAGCAGAGAACAGCACGGGCTGCAGCAGCAGCGAGGCCACCGGGGCTGGGGACAGCAGAACCCCAGGGGAGGAACAGCCAGGGCAGGAGCTGCCTCGGCAGAGCAGCAGTGCTCAGCATCACCGCGGAGCCCTTACCTGCCGGAACCTTTTGAGATGTATGATGAGAACATCAGGCAAGGTCCAGAGGCTGAGGGTGATGCTACCCTGCTGCAGCTGCTTGCAGTGTGGGCATCGCCACGCGTCATCGGGGGCGAGCTGCAAGGAAGAGGCGTGAGTGGGTTTTAGTTCCCCAGTTCCACAGCAGGTTTCACTGCGCCGCCGTTCCTCTGCCGCCCCGGCCCAGCGCAGACGCCTGCCTCCGGCAGCGATCCCGGGGAGGCTTTTCACTAGCGAGGAGCAGAGTCGCGTGCGCCTCGCACAGGAATCCAGCCAGTGCTGCAGGCAGAGAAGCTATTTCCACCTTACACACACCAATCCCTCTGACATGGGGGAGAAGGCAAAACAAAGGCAAAAAGCAGGCAGGCTTGGCAGCCTGAGTAAAAGTATTCTCACAAGAAAACCGGCAGCAAAGGAAATCAGAACAGAAAGAAGACAGGAGTACGCCGAATTTCACCTCTGACACCTCGCTCTGACTCTCTGGAAACCCTCCTCCTCCTCCCTACATCCCAGTGGCACAGACCTACAGCTGCAGAGGTTGTCCTGCCCACCAAGGAGAACGTGTCTCTTCAAAGCGCCTCCCTCCACAGCCCAGCCCTCAGAAAACTCAGAAGCCAGAGAGCTTTAAGCTGACAAACAACTTTTCCCTCACCTCTGAAAGAAGCGACAAGAGAGGCTCCAAAGTCATTAAAGCTCAATCACGGGTCTGCAGTCCACTTCCAGGACCATCCCTTTTGCAGCAGATTAGAGACCTCCGGCAGAGAAACGCGCAGTGCTTGCGTGTCGCCGGCGAGGGCCAGCTCAGCCCAGCTGCCTGCCCTGCCCACACCATCGCTCCCGCCGCCGCACCCTCCCCGCACACGGGCGGGGCTGGAGAACGGCCACGCTCCTGCAGAGCTGAGCTCCACGCTCCCTGCGCTGCCCTTCGGGGCCGTCCTCAGTGGGGGCTGCCCTAAGCCCACCCCAGCCCTGCCCAGCCTCGCAAACGCACCAAGACAGAGCTGTAAATTCCCACGAAGCAGCCACGTTGTGCCAACCCTTTATAATGTGAATTCTGTGATTTTGTAATGTGTGCCAGAAAAAAACATCACTGTTTCACACGGAGGAAACTGCAGAACAGGGGAGTACGTTCTCATCTCAACGTCTGGGGAGCAAAACACCCCAAAGCAGTATACCTCCCACAGCTTTGTCCTCGCTGCAGAGAGACTCCGTTAGCAGGACTGGTAACTAGTGTTGCGTTACTAATTTAACTCTCCCGTCTGAAGAAATCAGTGTTTGCAGAAAACAGCTCCTCTGCGGAGCGTGGGAGTCCCTGCGGCACGCCGCCCAGCCGGACCGTCTACACAGGCTGGTCCCTACCTGTTCCTCTTTGGTGTAGAGTTGGAAACACTGAGATAAAGTGCAGGTCTGAGGTTGGTGATGAAGCTCTCTCTGCTGGCGGACGCTCTCGGAGTCTGGAATATATTCCTCTTCCGTATTCACAAACAAGCTGCAGCAGAGAGACAACACAATTACCAGCACATCCGCACGCTGCCGTCTGCAGGCAGAGCCCGCAGCTCCTTCCTGGCCCTGTCCCACCACACGTGAGCAAGAGATCCTGCCAGGGCAGCACAACCGAGCGCGGGGGTGAACAGCTGCAGCGGGCACCCGCTCCGGCTCCTCTCAGGCAGAAAAAGCTACTCACTGCCCACAAACTTTCTCACACAAGTATGATTTGCGGAGGAAGGAGCCCCAGGCGAGACGCCTGCTCCGTAATGCAAAACCCCGGGCACGGAGGAGAGGAGCCCAGCTCGGAGCAGGGCTGGGGCACCCACCCCAGCCCGTCCCTGTGGCCAGGGGCCGGGGCAGCTCCTGCGGGGTCTCGTTTTGCTGAAGGGGACACAATTCACACAAGCAAGCCGCAAGCATCGCTCTCGAGGTGAACACACTTTAAAGCTTTCTACTTCATACTTACTAATCTTTAGTTTCTTTGTCCCATTCTACCACTAATTTCACATGAGCCGTTCCCCCCTGTCCACATGACTTCAATGCCCTGGAGAGAGGAGCAGACAGGAGTTAGACCACCCTTCAGTCTGTGCCTACGTTATCTTTTACATGAGTGTAACTTCGCTAGCCCTACACCCTTCCTCCACCTCCACACAGCTCAAGTTTCCAAAGGAGTAAAAGGAATTCATACAGCAAAGAACATGGCAGAGCTGGCAAACTGCGTTTACTGAAGTGCATTAGTTCTGTAAATAAACACACACTTATTTAGAGAACAGCCATCTACAAAAATGCCTGAAAAATTAGTCACTAGAAAAAGAATTTTAAAATGAGGGGGGTAATACTTTCATTCTGTTCTCCGTTTCCGAGGACAGACTCCAGATGGTGACACTCAACTGAGCAATCCCCACACAGCTTCCCGAGGACGCTCAGCCGCTTCCCTGCTCCTCGGGCCGGCCATGTCCGCTCCACACACGCGCCCCAAGACTGTCCCCTTCTGCACAGCTACACCCCCGGTGCCCGCCGACAGCCCCTCCACTCCCGGGAACCAGGAGCAACTCACCTTTCCACTGTGGGATGGCAGAGGGGCCGCTCCTCCTGAGGTAGCAAGTACGTTATGCCCACAACACTGACCACTCGCAAGCTGAACGGGCAAACCTGCAACAAGGAGAGCAGAAGCCTCCTGAGCGGCTCACACCCCACGTACCTGCGTGCAAAGCGGCTCCCGGCACCGCCTGGCATGTACTTCATCCTAGGGGGTGTGTCTGACACGAGAAAGCAAACACACAAGGTCTCAGATATGCCGACGCCGAGTGGCTAACCGAGGGGTGAGCTACAGCAACAGGGGCTTTGTACCCAGCAACAACTCTGCGGTGACCCAAGACGCCCCTCTCAGAGGCCTAAACTTGCCTGAACCTTTCAGCAAGCAGACAAAAGCACCAAAGAAGTGGGATACCAGACTTGGATATTATTGAACAAAGAAACATGGGGAAGCCACCAGTGCAGGATGTGCAGCACGTTGATCACCCCAAGTAACCGCCTTCCCCTTTAGCTCCCACCACACCGAGCTGGAAGTCTCGAACCAGACAAGCATCTGCCTCACCTGCAGGCAGGCTGCAGGCCGCAGGAAATACTGCATCTTCTCCAGAATTTCCTTCTGCAGAATATCCCAAGCAATTGTTTTTTCCAGATGCAACACAAAAGGCAAGCCAAACCTACGGGAAGAAGCAGCATTTGAGGGAGCAATTAAAAGATTATTCTGTTCAGCAACAGGATCCCCAAACTCTGACAGCGCCACCCTTCCTCCTCACTCGGCACCTATGGAGCTCAGCATGATTTGGATGAAACGCCCCAGAAACCAGGAATTAAGAACTTGTCCGCAGAGGAGAGATGCTGAGCTCTGAGGGGACGCTGTGGGGGCTGCCCACGAGGGGAGCTCCCGCTGAGGCACCACGGCCCTGCCCCGGGCTCGGGCTCTGCTGCAGAGCTCGGCCACCACCCCCCGGCTGCCACCGCTTCTTGTGACACAAACCTCAGCGGCTCAGGTAGTTCTCAGCCCGTGGCTGGCACAAACGCCTTTGCCACGGCTGTTTCTGCCTTGCCCCCACCCCCCGGCCACCCCACATCACAGGATCAGGTCTCTGGAACCAGCGAGCTCTGCAGAGGTGGCGTGTCCTTCTGACCAGCCTGCAGTCGCCACCTTCCAGTAACACTGGACTACTTGAAGTTAACCAAAACAGGAAGATTTTGCTGCATTCATGATTGGGTTTTGATCAACATGCTCTTTAGCACCCAACGCGAGCGGGGAATGCTGGCTGCCGCCCCTTCACCGCCTGCCTTCCCCGCACGGCGAGGAGAACCCAGGCCGGTTAAGGTGGCAGCGGCGGAGTCACTACCGGGGGAGCTGCCAGTCACCTTCTGCTCTGCTGTCCAGTGCACGCTCTGTTACACACCAGCAACACAATCTTGTCGGTCGCTGCTGGTTTCGTGGAGGACTGTTCCAGTTTTCCAGACTTCACTGTTCCTTGAGAGTAAGATATTGTTCGGGAGTGCTCAGTGCCACATTTCAAGTTATTCAGGTTATTGTTCACATGTATTCCTGAAGAATTGGGAGAAAGGAAACATTTCGTCACGTCATTTGCCTTTAGTGCCCTGATGGCCCCCTGAAGAAGCCCTCCTTTGGCTGCAGAGGAGCAGGTCAGTATGGAATTAGACCATTTTTATGACTTGTATGAAGGCTTCAAAGAGCAATTACTTTTCACAGTGACTATTTCTTTACAGAAAGAAATTATATGCAAGTGCTCACCTAACTGATTTTTCACAGCAATTTCTACAATCACCCATAGCTTTGTCCGCCCGCAAGAAAAGCTAAAGTGACAGAAACCCCACTTGTTACTTCCAATAATAAAATTTTCCTTTGATTACGCTCTGTCTGCCCAGGATGCAATTATTGCCTTTCACTGAGAGGGAGATGCAGAGAAGCCGAGGTCTCCGAGCTTTGAAAGAGAAAGCGTTTGCTCATTTCTGAGACTGTTTATTCATCACCGGCAATCTGATTTTAAATAACACAATTTCAGTAGCTTCACCTGGTCCCTAGCAGGTCTTTAAATTAAGCCTGACAACAGATTTCCCATTAAGCCAGCCTGGCCTGCAGAATCAGCCCAGGAAGAGGAAGAAAGGAGTGTGCATCGCTTCTTGATAACCTCCCTGCTGACACCACCATTAAGCCTGCTGGAATGAGTCTGGGCAGAGTTGAAATCAATACACCACAACATCAACTACTTGTGGGACTTTTATTCTCAAGTCTATCCCTTCCCTCCCCTAGTCACCCGAGGCGGGCGTTAAGCAGGTATCGACTTACCTCTCTGACTGAGTATACCCTCAGGCCTAAATATCTCGGGGGTCTCAAAGGCGAAAATGCAGTCGCTTTCATGAATGGTGTCCAGGTCATCAGTGTCGCAGAAGGACCGATGAAACCCATCGTAGTACATCTCCGTCAGCACGATCTAGAGTCAGCACAAGCAAACCAGAAGCCGTTAGATCACCCGTGCCTGGTCCAGCTGAGCTGCCCCGTCTCTCAACTGGGATTTTCCTGCCAAGGGATGACATTCCTCAAAACATCCTGGTGTCGGCCAGCAGCAAGGAACAGGGAAGAGGACTGCCACAGAAGAGAAGCTGGGGCAAAGGCAGCACGTGGAGAGGATCGGGTGGGACCCGACAGTTTCCTGAGGCTCCTCGCACAGAGCAATTCCCCAGAGAACTCCACTGCAGCACCTCTGGGTTTCAAAACGCCAACGTGCAGGGCAAAGCGTGACCCAGACTGCCACTACCCCGCTTCCCCCCTTCGACCAGGGGCAGGCAATTTCAATTCCTACATATCCAACATGGGATGAAGCCCCCGCGCCCCCTCCCGCTGACTGACGAGACCAGGCCGTTACCTGCTCCGTGGGGATCTTGGTTTCTGAGGAGACGGCCTCCCGCAGCCTGGCCACGGTCCCGGAGATGGGCACGGGCACGCCGATGCGCATGCAGTGCGAGCACTTCCCCCGGTACACCACGGTGACGTAGAGCGGCCTGCGGAGAGCAGGGGCACCGCTGGGGCCGCGCTCGGCACTCCCGCCCGCGCCGCACGGAGCCGGCCCAGCGGGGACCCCGGAGCCACCCCAGCCGCAGCCAGGACAGCGCATTTGGTTCCCAGAGTCCTTTCTTACTACATGGCCCGGTGCTACCTCCTCCCACCAGAAGCAGCAGCACGTCTTCTCAAAAAGCTCCCCAAAATTAAAAATGAACACGTCTATGACAAGGCAAGCATAATTTTTCAACAAGGACCCTGTAACGTGGCTTTGGAGAGCCCAAGGCAGCCCCCGAAAGCCCTCGGAGAGCGCTGCTGCCGGGCTGCTCCAGCTGCCCCCAACGCCCAGCCCTGCCGAAGCGCCACCTCAGGCAGGACCCTCCGGAGAGCCCCTCAGCCTCCGCTCGCGGGGGGGAGCGGGGCCCCCTGAACCACACGTGGCACACTCGGATCCAGCGTGCCCTGCATTATCTGCTCCACTGCTGCTTGAACCCGTGCAAGCCTTCTGCCTCCGAGACACGAGGTGAAGGAGCTGCTTATTTATACAATGGGTGGGTTTGCTGCGCATCTCTATCTCTTCACTCTGAATTTTTTATCTGGATTTTTTTTCCTCCCTGGAGCTTTTTTTCTTTTTTGGCAACAGCTATCTTTCAAAAAAGCAAAACATTTTGCAGGAAAGCTTTTAACTTCACTTTTTGAAATTGGAGTGATCAGTGAGACTGTTCTAAAGGAAGTAAAAAAGTGTTTCATCCTTTTCCCTTTTTTTTAATTTTAAAATGTTATAAATTAAGTCAAAAGCAAAATCTTTTGGTTACCTGAATCAAAGATGATTTCTCCCCCTGAAATTAATTCTATAGGAAGTTAAGGGTGGGGGCAGAGGGCTGTTCTGAAACAAGTAAAAGGCTCAATTTTCCAATTTACCTGCAAAGCAAAAAATTAAAGCCCCATATGGTCCTATCTATCTTTTTTAAAGACTTACCGTCAAGATTTTGCTGACACCTCTTTTCCTTCTGTAGCAAATTAAACAACACTGTATGCATGGGAAACAGCCAACGTTAAGTTTCAGACAGTCACCTACCGTGTATGAGGCAAAGGGATCGGCAGAGAGATGCAGAGAAAAGGGTCAAAGGTGTTACTCTGCTTCTGGCAATGAGGGCAGGTCAGGGAGGACCTAGTACAAATACCAGTAATAGGACAGAGTTACACCTCACCTCCTCAGGAGGGGATAAATCATCAAATCACAAATAACAGCCGTCACACGTCAGCCTGGCTGCCCCCCTCTGCTCTTCCTTCTCCACACAGGGAGCTCTGCACAGAGCCTGTCCACACCCAGCTGCTGTAAACGATGGGCCCCTCGTTTCTAGGTCCTTTTGAAGTAATTAATCCCAAAGTTCATTACAGAGCATGCCAGGAAAAGACTTCACTCCACTCACTGAATTTGGCTTTTAATAAATGTTACTGCAAAATTAGTAATTCACCCACAGTAGCTCCAACGTGGAAGGCCTAGGAGGGTTTTGTCTTTGAAGAGAGATGAAGTGACAGGAAAGAGCGACAGTCAGCACTGCAGGTGTACAGATCTCTTACTGAGAAGGGAGAAACTCCAGACAATACATCTCACATTCAGAATTAACCTGCACCTTAACCTGGCTTCATGTTTTATACCAGGCTTAAGGTTTCCTATTTGCAAAGGAAGCCTTGGCAAATATTGGGGAGAAGAGAAAGCCCAGCAATTAAAATTCTTATAGCAGCACAGCTACAAGCCATCAAGGAGCACCAGGCTATTTTCTTGTATTAGTTCTGAAATTAAAAAGCTCACTTCCCAGGAAGTATAGGAAACTCTTGGGAAAGCCCTGAAGGGACAGGAAAAGCTTCAGCTCAGAATTCCCAAGTGCCAGATAACAGGAACTCTGCAGGGCGCCCGGGGTCCGTAACTCCCCGGCAGCTCCAGCACCTCCAGATCTTGGCGCAGGGTCCTGCCCTGCCCAGCCCGGGGCAGCCTCACGGCTCCACTGAGCACTGACTTGCTTTCAGGATGCGTCAGGGCAGGTGAAGAACTGGTACATACTGTAGATTTTCACAGAATATACCAAATTCAAAGCAGTGAAATTCTCTCTCCTCTGGAGCAAGATCCTAGTGCAGGTGTCATTCAGCAGGAATTCAGAGCTGGTAACACAGTGACACCAGCCCAACGGTACTGGGAGCTAGCATCACAGTAGGATTATACTGGGGTCACCAATACATGCAATAATGCCTCAAAATTTACAAAATATACCTGTACTGGGCTTGAAAGAGTTCCTGCACAAAGGTACTACTGATTGGAAAGGCTGGTCCCTCCAGCAGCACGTCGTCCTCCAGCGGTGGCTGAAAGAGAAGAACAGACCCTAGCAGCACACCCAGGTGTGGGGCGACGGCTGTGAGTCCCAGCTGTGCCCTCCCTGCCCACAGGCACCAGAAAAAGGTCACAAGATTTTAAATAACAAGTGTGCTCTGCTGACAGGAGGGGTTATGCAGGAACGCGAGGTAAGGAAAGGCTGGGATCTGCCGGCAGGCGAGGGGCTGGCAGCCCCCCTCCTGCAGCGTGTGAGCGCTCAAAGGACTGTGCTGGGGGCACTGGCCAGGGTTACGTTCATGGGGCCAGAAACAAACAGAACTTCAGCTCGAGCTTTTGTTCCCTCCAAACTACTGGAGTTGAGAAGCCAATGGGGAGATCTACCTGAAAAAAACTGCAAAGTTACAGCTGCCGTCCCACGCTGGGTCCCAGCACAGCCCCTACCTTGAGCGGAGGCATGCCGCTGGAATTCACGACGTTGTTCAGATCTTCATGGACTCTGTCCAGAAGCCAAAGCAGGAACTCCTGCGCGTCATGCTGGGCATTCCCGCGGTACTGCATCGCGTTCTTGGACACAATGTTCTGCAGAGAGACAGACGGCCTACAGCGAAAGAGCAAGAGTCAAGCTCTTCCCCTCGCCGAGCCCCCCCAGACAGGCAGAGCAGAGAGCCCAAAGGCGGGGATGGGCGACAGCTCTGGCCAGGGCACGGCCGGAGGACAGCCTGGGCCCTGACACACACCCCGAGTCAGAGCAGCAGGTGCTGCCTGGGGGCAGAGCCCCGCCACCGGCCCCCGGAGCAGAGCGAGGGGCTACGGCACTGCTCGGGGAGCACCCGTGGTTACAGGAAACTCGGGGCTTGATTCAGATGAGAGGAACACCAGGACAACTGGCCTACAGCCCCTCCACACCAGTCAAGGGCGAGGCAAGCTCACCCCGACTCACCGACAAGGACGGGCAGCACCTCACACGCTGACACGGAGCTGAGGCCGTTTTTAACCATCCCTCTCCACGTACCACAGGGCCTGACACTCTTCAGCTCAGTCTTCTATTTGTTTAAGCTGAAGCAAAACAAGTATTTAGTCTCCTGACGTCCACTGGTGCTGCCCAGCTCCTTCCTGCTCTGGCAAGGTCACAGATTTCCCAAAACCTAGACGCAGATGCTGGTGCTAACACGGGGACACAATTCCAGGAATCAGCCAAGATCAGCACATCAAAACTGCAGGTGCTTGTACAAACCCACCGTCCCAATAATGTGTGGGGAGAGCACTTTGCATCAGGCTCCCTCGCAAGCACGTAACCGGTACAGCCACCGGGTAATTTTCTCCACCAGGTATCAGGTATCCGCTGCGCACAACTTACTCATCCTAAATACCATTTTCTACTGCCACTGCTCGAAACAAAGCTTGCTTAGGGCAGAGGACTGAGCAAGAGGAAAGGCAGAGCTGGCCCTGGCATCACACGCCGTTACGGACGCAGGTCCCAGCCAGGCAGGTGCCGCTCCGGAGCACGAGGAACCGCTGCGTCGGGGAGCGAGTGACGCCGGAGCAGCGCGGTAGGGACGGGCACGGCTGGACCAGCAAACGCTGAACAAGGGAGGACTCAGACAGTCACAGGTGTGGAACACACAACTGGCACCACTTTGGATACACGCTGAGAGCCTGGGGAACACACCTCATCTACTCTGGAATTTCCAGAAAAGCCGTCTCAGGATACCAGCACACCAGAGGGGTTTGCTCAGAGCTGCTTTTCTTCCGGACACAAACGGGCAGGGCCTGAAGGTCACCAGCAACTGAAACCTGCAGGCGGCAGATTCATCCTCACCCTGCAGCTCCAGGGACACCTTTCCTACTGCTGGAGCTTGCACTGAGCCCTCCAGCTGGGCCACGCACGCCCCTTCCTCCGGACACCTCCTCCTCCTCTAAAAGCCGATGGGAGTCCCACCAGGGTTTGCTAGGGCATCTTCCTCGCCAGCAGCCAACGCCAGGAAACGCTTCCTCTGCTCCAGCTCTCCGGTCTCGCTTTTACCTCCGCACCACCACGCAGACGGCTGCCAACACTCACCGCTGCGTGCTGGGGACACGGCACAAGCATCTGTGTTCAGCGGGAACGCTCCCTGACGTACCGCCCAGCAGCTGGGCCAGGGCTCCTTCCCAAGGAGCAGAACCCACCTCTGCCGCAGAAAAATCACCACGTTCTGCCTCTTCAAGGAGGCACCAGGCTGCAGCCCGCAGAGCCAGCCCGCTCCTCCTGCTGCTGGTGAAACCGGCGGGACCCTCACCTAACACGCTCACGGGTCAGCCACCCCACGCTCCCACCCCACCAGTTTTAACCCCAAAGCCAACACTGAGCTTTTCTTCATGAGAAACGGGCTCATAGCAAAGCTCACGCCAGTCGCACAGCAACTCCCCAGCCTTCCTGTGCCACATACTACCAGGAGAAGCGAGCCTGTTTGGGATGTGCTGCACCTACAGCCTGCGGCACACCTGTGGGGAGACAGAAAGCGCTTACAGGGACTCGAGCTTGTCTGAGCAGGGTCCCCAGAAAGGAGCAGAGGCACCGGCAGAGACCAGGCCGTACCTGCAGGGCAAGAACCACGCGGGAAGACTGCGGCAGGCCGCACACGTGCTGTACCAGAGCTCCTCCATTTCTCTAATCAGACTTTGCAACAGATTTGAGAAAAGAGGTTGGGCTGCTCGCTTTATCCCTCTAGAAAATGGGGTCACCAGAAGAGGGGGGGTGATGAAAAAGACAGGAAAGGACTGATAAACATGCACTCTCTATCCTCTATAATCTGTCCACCTGCCTCAAGGCAGCAAAATAAGGGAAAACAGAAATAATCTGCTCTCATTACATATGTGCAAACCCTTCTGACAACAGATTTACTGCCTGCCCAGTGACCAGCATCCTCCCACGTGAAATTTGTAAACACAGTCTTAAACGAGTAGCCCCCAGGGAAGCTCACCTCTGCAGCTCAGTGGTGCGGGCCCAGCACACCCCTGCTCGGTGCCCAGCACAGCGTGAGCCTGGGCACTGCTGCAAGCCAACAGATCGGGGAGAAAATTCCAAAATAGTCTGTAGGGCCTCCAGGATTAAAGGTGACCAAAGAGCCTTCCCCACTCCTCGTCCCCATTCAGCAGAACAAGATCCATTGGCAGGAAAAGAGTGACCAAACATGATCCAAAGAATTATCTTAAGCCTCTCCAGGTACCAGCCTGATACCTCTTGTCCTCCTGCAGCAGAAAGCCTGGTGAATTACTCGTGTTGCACCAATTTTACGGAATTGAACACTAACTGTGAAATATAGTCAACACACTTGCAGATCCTGGCCCGATACCTAAACACTCAACACTCGCCCAGTGGCTATCGGGACAAGATGGCAACGACCTAGGGAAACCTAGTTTAGCTGGGCTACAGACCCCCAACCCAGAGCTCTCCTTAAACCGCCCTCCGCCGAACACCACCCCTGCCCAACAACTTTACAATTCCTGGTCTTATACTTCTCCCGTAGATTTACAGAACAGCAGTTTCTCCATCGGAGCACCATGCCTTCCTTTACTCTTACGAAAGCTCCAGGCTGACCCATCTCAGGGTGCTGACATCTCCAGCCCAGCAGTAGGTCTCGAGGAGCACTGCTCCCCTCGGGCAAGGGCGAGGCAGCCCAGCACCTTTGCAGCCCCAGGTCCCAGCCAACAGCCAGCTGCTGCTCACAGGATTTAGTGGGTCATCTAGAATTAAAAAAAATTAATATTCAAAAATATCCAAAACACCCATAGCAAGGAGAAAAGGCTGATATTCACAGCAGCTGTGTTCAGTTGAATGCACCCTGACAACGGTCTAAGGAAGAATTTAAGATGTACATGTGGAGACTTCCTTTGCAAACATTATCTTTGTTCAAAAAAATTACACTGAAAATTAAATTTAGCCCTTAAATTACCATGTCAAGTTCCAAACTGAAAATCAATCACTGAAGCGTGAAGCACAGATTTCAGTCTGCTCCTAAGTGCTTCTCACTACATCTTTTCTCCACACCTCCACAGTAACACACTCGCCTTTTAACGGCCCGATTCCCCCTTCCCGCTGCCTCCTGCGCCCAGCTCCGCACGCCAAGGTGACAGGGTCACTGTCACCGAGGGCAGGCCCAAAGGCAGCGCAGGTCACAGCAAGGCTGAGCTCACTCTTCCCAGCAGCGAGTTGACCAAAGAGGGCCAAGAGAAAGAGAAGTGCTGAAACACAACCTCCCCAGGAGCGCTCGGTCCTCCCTGCAGCGATATAAAAAGGTTTGATGTCATCGGGCCAGCACTAACGCCCCTCCCTTGGCACGCTAAGGGCCGCTGCCTTAGCGGGTCCAGTCTTGGTGAAGTTAGCCAACAGGTGCTGCCACCGCACTGCACGTCCTAGTCGAGACAGAGCTGGAGATAAAAGGGTCCTCAGTATTGTTAGGAGGAAGTGAATCTGGTGCTTCAAGTGAAAAAGGGGGCGCGGGGGGGTCTATAAGCAAGGATTTCAGCAATCCGGCTTTCACTGACACGTGTTCCTGGGGACGTGTCATCCTACAGCGAGCCACACCAGCCTGTAACAACATCCCGCAGCAGAGCAAACCCCGGGGATCGGCAACAGCCACGGGCCTCAGGCTGCATCTGCGTCCTTCCTCATCTCGGCAGCACCTCCACAACCGTTCTGCCTTCCTCAACACTCTCACAGCCTGAGTGGACCAAGGATAAAGAGCTGCCTGTGGAGACAGATCACAAGATGCTGGAAGTGATTCAGGAAGCACTACAAAATATCAGATGCAATTCCTTCACAAGAGGCTCCGCTACAAAAACACTCCAGCAATAGCAGCGTGTTCCCAGCGTTACTCACGCTTCCTGCCACCGCAGCTACAAGTGGGTCTGTTATTGCTCAAACCTGCATCTGCTGCTCTGTGCAACGCCGTGTGCCTCCCCCCCAGTGCCCCCCGAGGTGCTGGGGCAGCAGAGCAACCCGAGACAGGCAAGGTGAAAAGGAGGAGCACCAGGCATGCGGCGCGGAACGGTCAACGCTACGGCACTAAATCCAAGTGAGGGATAAAGGCGCTGGCTCAAAGAATTCAACGGTTTGAGAAAAATACCAGGAACTCCTGAATAACATTCGATGGAAGTAGCAGCTTGTCGTTAAGCAGCAAACACCCTGAACTTCCTTGTCTTTATTTTCTGAGACTCCTCTTCCATCTCTCGGCGGCAGAGCTGCCACCCCGGCCCCCTCTCGGCGCGGGGCTCAGGCCGCGGTGGCGCAATCTCAGTGACATCTGCACAGCTCAGACAGAGACGCGGTTCAGACGAGGCCACAGCTGCAACACCCCCTCCCCAAGATCCCTGCTCAGCCACCCAGGCTGCGGAAAGGTTCCTTTACACAACGACAGGTAGAAGTCAGAACATAACCTCAAACTTTCTCCCCTCTTTCGCTCGTCAGGTAAGAGAGGACAACGCCTCGTTTTGCTGGTCCTGCTCAGGCTGAACCTGATTTAGCTGGTGCCCATCACCAGAGGGTACCAAGAACAGGTCAGGAACGATTTTGCTGTGGCCCTTTCAGATGTGAGATGCCAGAGGCGGTCTCCCAAGCTCCCTTCCCAACACCTTTCCACGGCTGGACGGCTGTGCACCTCCAGCCCCTTCCTTAGCTCAGCCCCTAAGAGTTGGGCAGAAGGACTGAAATCTTCCCTTCCCCCAGATGTGCGAGCACCCTGAGTGGAGGCAGCACCATCAGAAGAGATAAGAGGGGGAAAATCATCACTTCATATCGATCGCATACACTTAGCTAACCCCCTAATGCAAGTACCCTATAACCAAACAAGTCCCTGTCCATCTATAAAGCAGATTTACGGCAAAGATGCATTATCATATTTATCAGCCCACTGAAAGTTTAATAATCGTTCATCTATTGCTCTAAATAGATGCAATAAATAAAAGCAAACATAGCTGAACTACTGGCCTCTCCTTTGCTGCTGTTATTGTTCCAAATCACAAAGACAACTAAAGGAAAAATGTCAGTCTGCTAT